CTTGGGGATCCCCAGGGATCACATTTTGAAAACCACTGAACTACTCAGTATAGGAACTTGGACAACTGGTTTCCACATAGAAAAAAATTAAGTCACAGTCCCACCTCACATCATATACAAAAATAAGTTCCAGGCAGACTTTTTTTTTTAAGCTAAATATGAAAGGTAAAATTTTCAGAAGAAAACACAGTAGAATATCTTATTGACTTCAAGGTAAGATTTCTCAAGTGAGCACAAAAAACAAACTCTAAATAGACTGACCATTCTGATGGCATAATAATCATAATCATCATCATAAATTCTGAACACCAAAAGACACCATACAAATGAAATGGCAAGCCTCAAATGTGAGAAAAGCTTTTGCACTCAGTGAGACGAAAACAATCCAGCAGGAAAATGGGCCAGGATATGAACAGGCAATTCACGGAAGAAAGGCAACTAGTCAATAAACAGATGAAAAAAGTTCAACCTCACTAGTTAGTAGTCAGGGTAGTGCAAACTGAAACCACTATTTCATACCCATCAGAAAGACAAAAATGTGTAAGTCTCACAATACCAAGTGTTGATAAGGACACTGAGCAATAGCAACACTGCTGGTGGGAATGAGAACTGGAACAATCATTTTGAAAAGTAAACTGGCAATATCTCATAAAGACGAATGTTCCCACAGCCCAGCAATTCAACTTCACTGTGTGCATCCTCGGGAAGCTCTGGCATGCATGCACCAGGAGTCATATGTGACAGTGAACACTGCAGCACGTTTGCAACAGCAGAAAACTGGAAATAACTCCAGGGTATCAAGAGGTGAATGGATATGCAAACACTGACAAAATTTTCGGCAATCATGGAAGCATTCTCTATCTTTGCTAATGCTTGATTTAAATTAGCTAATAAACTCATTAAATGTTAACATAATCTATTTTCTAAAAAAAATAACTATAGTTTAAAAAAAAACACAAAGTAGTGAAAAGAATGGTATTGTTTCACATTTTCTTAAAACTCCTACTGTCTGGCTTAATGGAAGAGACCTGGATTTTCACATAGGTTTCTGTAATCAATTTACTGGAATATGCTCTTTTGGTTGAAGAAAATTTTCTTTGGAAGAAAATAATGTAGTAGCCACTAGCCACAGGTGCCTATTAAACCTGTGAAATGTGGCCAAGTGTGACTAGGGAACTGAATTTTCATTTCCCTAGGGTATATACCCAAGGGTATATAAGGTCTTTCAATTGCATTGCTAATGTTTTATTTCTTAAGCTGGATAATGGGTAAAAACGTATTTTGCTATAGCATTTCTTGTACTTTTTTAATTGAAACCTAAATAGCCACATGTGGCTAATGGCTACATCAGCCAGCACAGCTATATAGTAATGAAAATACATGTGAAAATTTTGAGAGGCCCACATTACCTTCAGGGTTGTGCAGGTACAGGCTGGGCACATGTGCAACCCCAGTAGTGAGCACCTCCTTTGGTGCTATGTCCTGGATGCTTTGCTGGCCTCACCCTATTTCTGGCCCTGTCAGGATATATCAGATGATACTGTGTCTGGGGGTCTGGGGCAAGATCACCCCCCAATTTGATGACTCACTAGGACTCAGGATTTAGCATATAGTCTGTGCACACTATGACTTCTTAGAGTGAAAGGATACAAAGCAAATGAGCAGAGGGAAAAGGCATGTGGGGTAAAGTCTGGAGGAAACCAGGCACCAGCTTCCACAAGTCCTCTCCTAGTGAAGTCACAAAGCATACACTTAAAAGCTGAGACACCACATGTGAAATGTTGCCCACAGGGAAGCTCATTAGAGACTCAACGCCCAGGCTATTTATTGGGGGCTGGTCAAGTACTAAACATCCAGACATCAGAAGGAAAGCAGGTGTTTAACAAACACTACACTCTTGGTACAAACAGCCCAGGTACCCTGAGCCACTCCTATCATTTAGGTAATGGTAGGAAGCCTTCTAAAATCCAAGTTCCTAGACAGCAGCCAACCTTGCAAACAGGCCTTTCTATGGCTAGCAGTCTCAAGCCTGGTATGCTAACATTTTTGCAAAGATATCACTTATATAAGATTGTAGAACATGACATACAACACTACATAGTTTAAAGACATGTGCATATATAATGGTGTACAAACATGCACAGAAAAATTAACAAATTCAGGGCTATAGATTTGAGGAAAAGGAGAGAGGTAGGAGTTTGAGGCAAGGGTATATAAGGTCTTTCAATTGCATTGCTAATGTTTTAGTTCTTAAGCTGGATAATGGGTAAAAACGTATTTTGCTGTATTTTTTCTTATACTTTTTTGAGTAATGTGTGCATTTGAAATATTACATAAGAATGAACTTATCTCATTACTAGATAATACTTAACAGATCATTTTTAGACTATTAAACAGGCCTATTTTTCACATTCCAGATACTATGCTAAGCCCTTTACATGGACTTACTCTTTTTTTAAAAAAAATCTACTTTAGACTATCTATGTGTGGGGTTAAGTTCTGGAAAGGTCAGTGTGAGGCAGGTGAGATCTCTACCCTCAACCAGCTTTGAATCTACTGAGGGATAATGAGAGATGATAAGCACAATTTAAAACCTCAGATTCTGAGGGTTACTAAGATGATAAAGCAGGGTGATGGTATTAAAGAAGGGCCACTTTAGGGTGGCTGGGGAAAGCTTTGAGAACATTTGAATTAAGCCATAAATGATGAGAAAGGGACAGTCATGCAATTATCTGAAGGCAAAACATTCCAGGCAGAGCAAGCGCAAAGACCTGCGGCAGGAATAAGTGTGGTGTTGAAATATGGGAAATAAAGCCAGCAGGGTTTGAAAGTGATGACAAGAGGGAGACTGGTCAGCTGAGGCCATGGGTGCAGGGCCTCCTAAACCACAGTAAAGATCTTAGGTTTCATTTACGTATGATAAGCCTTTGAAGGTTTTAGGCAGGAGAATGACATGATCTGGTTTACAATGGAAAATTATTCAGCCAGCTGTATGGAAAACACATTATAGACAGGCCCATTTTCTTCATTAGCACCACAGCCATAATGTTTGTGGCTGATGAGCTTTGCAGGGGCTGTGAAAAGGTTGATGCTGGGGATAAAAGGAAGAAAAGTTCCACAATACAAAAAGAAAACTACAAAGTTGGAACGAGTAAATGTTTAATTAAATGTCTAGAAAAACATCATGGCAACTTCACCACTGAGTTTAGTATTCATAAACAATCGAATTATATTTGGAGATAATTTGAAAATTAGATTTTCTTGAGTCACAAAATTCCCAAGCATGCCCAACGACTGCCAGGAAATCATAGCCAATCATCAATGTGGAAATGTGGATTTTCTCACAGCCAAATCCTTTCAAAGGGAAAAAGACTTTCTCAATTTTTTTAATTGAGAGAAAATTTTATTTTTTACTTAATGTGAGATATAGACACACAAAAAAAATGCCTATTGTCATGAGGCCTTCAGACTACCAAGGCCACACTAGGTAGCTGGGTAAGAAATGTTAGTGTCTTGGATGAGCACTGTGCAGGCTTAGGCTCTAGGAGTTTGAACACTGTCTAGGGAACCCCTAGGAAGGCCTCTGGAGAGAGCACATCTGAACAGACCTGAATGACAAGAAAGCACCAGCCATGCCAAGAGCTGGGGGAGGAGGTTCCAGGAGAGACTCTGTGTGGGTAAGCCATGTCGGATTTCTACAGGAACAAAAAGGGGGCTCTGCTTGGCTGAAGTTGGGGCTGGGTGGTCAGTAAGAACCAGTGCATGCAGTCTTGACACCACTATCCTCTTCTCAGCACTCACATTGCAAACAGGGGAGTGACTGATCCAGTTTCTCTCAGACCTCTGCCTCCAATAATATAGTGGCCACTCGCAACAGGGACCAACACATGAGCACCTGGATGTGGGTAGTACAACTGTGACATGGAACCTTCCTTGTCCCTTAAATTTCAGTCAACGTTTAAAGTTAAAAACGATGAAACTGAGTTCGTGGAAAACTTTTATGCTGGCAACAATACAGGCGTGTGAATCTACCCTTCTGTCAATTTTATGACCCCTTAAAGCCAGATCAACTATTTCTGAGGAAAATACAGCTCCTAACATAAAACACATACAGGATCTTGGTGCCGAGCCAAAGAATGTCATGACACCTCATTTATATTTCTTTTCCCCATCACATGTTGAAATATGTTGGCTATTCTGGATTAAGTACAACATATTAAGATTAATCTCGCCTGTTTTGTTTTGTTTTACTTTTAAAAATGCAATTAAAAATAATGTAAAACTAGTATATGGTTTGAGTTATTTTTCCACTGGTGGGGGGTGGAAGCAGAGAGTGGGTGCAGAGGCGCCCGGAGTCTTCCAGGTAGCGGGTGACGAGGGTCCGGCGCAGGTGCGGGGGCAGAGAGAAGTTTCCAGACGCAATATGTAGTCTTGAGTCACGTGGGAATTTTCACGGCCCGGTTCAATGAGGAGGAAACGTAGCCTCGGGGGCTGAGTGGCAGAGGCTTGACCCGAACTCACGTTTACAGCGTCGTCCGCCCTTCGAGGGGACGGGAGAGGAATTCGAACCAGGCCCGACTCCCGGGGACGCGGATCCATCGCTCCGCCCCGCCTCAGGGCCGTTGACAAAAGTTTACCACGGACTCCCCGGCCGCTGGGCCTGAGGGGACAAGAGGCCCTCGAAGAAGCTTAGGCAACGCTCCCCCGCTGACAGAAGCCAGCCGCTAACGTTCCTCCTTTCTCTTCACACCCGGCTTAACCGCGACGGCGGCCGACTTCCGCTCCTCTCCAGCGAATCCCCAGCCTAGTTTTCCTCTCCTCCCGCTCCCCGAGGGCAACAGAGCTACTCACCTCTCAGAAAACATGCTTTATCCCCGCCCCACTCCCGCCTGCCAATCACCGCGGGCTCGAGCACCGCCCTTCCCACCCCCTTAAGCGAGCGCCGCGCGCCACCGCTAGGCAGTTGGAGGCTCTGACCCCGCGGGACAGGTCGTCCGGAAAGGCGGGGCGAAGCGCGAGCCATTTCGGTGCGGGAACCCTCGGGATTGGCCAGGAGGAGGCCCAGGCTCTGACTCCGCCCACCCCCACCCTGAACTTCCGAGTCGGAGACGCTGGGGATTGGTTCCCGGGGGCACACGCCGAAGCCAGGAGATGGTCCCGCCTTCCTCGCGCGGCCCGGAGAGGGCGCTTCACAGATTGGTCCCGGGAGTATCGGCGCGCGCCGACCGGCGCTCCAGGATTGGCTGAGGGGATGCGACGGAAAGCGTTGACAGTGATTGGCTGGAGGGTGGAGTCAACTATTTGAAGGAGGCGCGCGGACCAGATACGCACTTCAGTCCGCGGACAGAGGAGGTGTGAGTTACGGTTGGCCACACTGTCCTGCTAACCCGACGGGACCCCGACGCGGGCTCGGCCCCATCTCTGGCCCTTGCCGCGGCCCGGCGAGGCGATGGCCAAGGTGTCGGTGCTGAACGTGGCGGTGCTGGAAAATCCGAGTCCTTTCCACAGCCCCTTACGGTTCGAAATCAGCTTCGAGTGCAGTGAGGCCCTGTCGGACGGTGAGGCTGGGCCTGTGTGGAGACCTCCCCCTCCCCCAGGCCAACCCCGACCTCCCTCGTGAAACACAACCCCTTCAACCCCGATATTATCCCCTCCCTCCCCGCCAACCCCAGCCTACCCGTGGGGATTACCCCCAGCGCACCCCACGGCCAACTCTACCCCCTCCTCATGGTTACTCCCTTTTCCTCCTTGGCGACCTCATCACCCCCGTCTTTTTACTGTGAAGCTCCTCCTGGGCACCCGTTTGCTGTGTAGAAATCTTCCCAGTCTCCATTTTCTTTAATCTGCAGAGACCCTCCGCCACCGTCTTCCCTGTAGGAAGAACCTCTCACACACACTATTTCTGTATGGCCAGATCCCCGTTTCAGCCACCCGATTGTCCCCACACATCCCCTCTCCCATGTAGTGAGACACTCCTGCCCAACCTTTTTCCTACGGAAACCCCAACCTTCAGTCCCTTCCCATTTTCCCTTTGAAGACTTCAGGCCCTTCCCATTTCCTCATGGAGACCCCAACCCCTCCCCCATTTCCCTTGTGGAGACCTCTCCCCCACCTCCCTGCCCTTTCCCCCAATGAAACCCCTCTTCGTGGCAAGACCTCACTCACCCCTGTCTCGCTGTTTGTCTACCAGTCATCGCCTCCCAATCTGCTGATAGTTAACCGTAACCTACCCACTTCTGCTTGTTTTCTGTCCCAAAGCACATACCCTAGGATCTGGCTTCCCTCCTCCATAGCCTGGCCCCAAGCCCCCATTCTTGAGCTCCACCTGGGAGGCATGACCCGGCTTCCAGCTCCAGTCTTAGAGGATAACTGCCTTCCTAGCTTTCATTCCTCCCTCTTTTCTGGCTGTAGACTTCGATGCACATGCTCAAATCTGAGGGGTGGCATAGCCAGCCAGGTGGGAACCAGTTAGCCGATTCCCGCTGTTTGCCCATCAGGTTCCAGCTGACCTATTGCAGCAATTCTTCCAACACTTTTGGTGGTCTGACCCAGTCTGGTGGATAGGTGGGGTTGCCTGAGCCATGACGGTTTCTGGCTTCAAACAGTCAGCCAGGAGGTCAGAACTTTTTGTGTCTCTCTTCCAAGATGCTTTCAAGATGTCTTTTTCATCTGTGGCAAAAAGGTGGACATGGCTGTCATCTCACAGATAAGAAGATGGGAGCTACAAAGAGTGAAAGACTTTTCAAGTAAAGGTCTAAAAAAAAAAAAGGGAAATATGAGGTCACCCAGGGAGTCTTGGCACCACTTTCAAGAGGAAGTACTCCATTAGGCCCCTTCTGCACTGGATGGTTAAAAGAGAAGCAGCAGCAGATGAGGAGATCGAGATCCGGGAGGCCAGGGTGTACTGACTAGCGCCTCTCGGTGGTAGGTGGGTGGTTTGCATGCAAAGGCGGCCACTTGGATTAGCTTGGGGACTGTTAACAGCTGGAGACGTGCAATTGGGCTGGGCCTGTGAATCAGTCTCTCCCTGGTTTCTCTCATGTTTAAATTATTTTAAATTAAAATATAGTTAGTTGTGACTTAATCCCAGTAAAATCCTTTCTTGAACAAGGCAGGGTGTAAATGAATGAATAAAGTGTAGAATGACACTGTGAAATAAGATTTAATTTTAAAGCCAGGAGGAGATAGATGTAAGGAGCTAGTAGGTTAAGGGATTCACAGTTCCAGATGGCAGGAGATTCGGTTTCAATCAGGCTGTTGGTGCTCCTTGCTTTAAAACTAGTTACATGGTCATGATCTAGTACTTTTATTCCTCAGAAGGCCCTGCCCTGTTACTTTACTACACTGTTTATAATAGAGTCAGCAGGAAAGGCTTAAGTCAACCTGCTGGTCATTATTTTTCAATAGAAGTGGAATGACTTTTCTCCAAGGTCACACAGCCCAGTCTGTAGAAGGATTGTAGAAGCTAGAGCTTGTCTCTCAGTTCTGAGTCTGGAATTTTTTTTCTCTGCTATAACCTAGGAAAAAAATAATGCATTTCCTATTTTAGAAGTGGAGCATGGATAGGACTGACCAGAGTACTTATTTCCACATCAAGACACTCTCAAAAGAGTGAAGAGGGTGCTATTATTAATTACACCAGGACAACAAAGCTTTTTGCTCAGAGAAATTCTACTTGGAAAGTAAACTCTGGCCTGGAAATCCAGACTTTGGTTCCACCCCTGGGGCTAGCCAGGACTCTAACCTGCCAACTTGTTTTCTTCCTCTTCCTGGCCCTCTTCCCATACAACAGAGGGAATCCATTTCCTGCCTCCCAAACGGAGGGAGCCTGGCTTTAGAAGTGTCTCAGATCCTGCAGAAATCTCAGTCCATCTACCTCGACACTGGCAACTGAAGATCTGGCAAAAAACCCAACCCCCAGTCAGTCATTGGACCCCATCTCCCAGGGACCCCAACCCCTTTTGCTCTTTTTTCTCCTCAGTAACTGGAAATAGATGCTCCCAAGGCCTGGGTCCACATTTAATACATTAGATGCGTTTTCCCCTTGTTTCACTGAGAAATTCACCAGCCACTGCTTGAATAGGTCATGGAGCCAGATATTCTGACCTGCTGTGGTCAGGCCAGGGTTCATCTCTGACAATGAACGGAGTGATAAACAGAAGAAAGCATACTACTTAAGTGTTGTCATCATTGTTTTAAAGGCAGGAAACATTCTCCAGTTAGTTTCACTGCAGTTTTTTTACAAACCTTTAATCAGGCTGTTGGTTTTGGTTTTGTTTTCATACATAGTGGAGGTGCATCTTGAGCAGTGGTTAGATTGTAAAGTCAGGGCATAAACACAAAATGTAATGCAGTCAAGTTACCCTTGAAATTGCCCAGAAGGTTAGGCACACAAGACCACACATGTACAATTGTGTGCTGTATTTGATAGGAATGAATTTGTGCTGTCTTGGTGACTGATGTCCATATCTAATTCTAAAGAAGGATTATGTTCAAAAAGGAAATCACTTTAGTAGGGTTCTTTTAAAACACTTTGGCAAGTTTAAGATGATTCTGATTTGTAGGACCTTGGTTCAGTCATCTTCTGTCTTCCATAGATTACTTTGTTAGATCCTTGAACTCTTGAGTCCTTATTTCTCTGTGGTCCTCGGCCAGCTCTCTGGTTTCTTTCTGGCCAGTGTCGAGGAGCCTTGGCAGCCCATTTTCTAGGCTGCCTGGGCACTGCGTTTCCTCTTCCAGTCAGTACCCCACAATCTTCACTTAGGTTTTGCCGAGTGCCTGAGTTGTACACTACCAGGGCGTGCTCTGTTTCTGTCTCCCTTTTTTTCTCCCCCCACCACATTAGTTAAAATTCACACATATGGGACACTACCTGCGGTGGAGGAAAGGCCAGAAGGAAAGTTACAAAAACACACAGCAGTTTAGGAAAGGGAGAACAGAGCTAGCTTGTTTTCTGTTCGTCCAAAGACATGTTACATCTATTTCTGTCACTGCTTGTAACAAAAACAAATCGATAAACTTAACTCCTCCCTGCAACTCAGACTGGAGTTTGATTGCAGCCCAGTGAACCTGATGGTCACTGTGTCCCAAAAACCTGCTAAGGCCCCTGAGGACAAGGCCTGGGTGAAACTGCGAAGGGACAGGAAGCCAGTGTATCGAGGAAGAGTGTGGGGCTCAGGTGACAAGATTCCCTGGCTTGGCCGGGCATCACTGTGCTTGCAAAGTTGGATGCTCTTGCAGAACACTGGACCAAGGAACAGGACAGCTTCAACGACAGTTTGCTTCCCGTGAAACTGACAGTTTGTGGAACTTCCCCCAGCTGCTGGAGCTGTAGGTTGTGCATTTCAAAGAACCTAAAATAAGTTTCAGGTCTCCTACCAAGGTTCTGTGTACTAGTGTGACCTTGCCCCTGATATACTTGGACCTCCCGCAAGAGGCAGCGGTCACTGGGAATTTCCTGTGATTGATGGGCAGGGTCTCCTTAGATACTTTTCCTTTTATCTTGCCAGAACATACTCAGGGATGGGGGGTACCCCCATACTGGATGGGATGCAAGGTAATTGGGGTTCAGATGGGCCCCAGAATTCCACGTGTATTGACTGAGTTGTGTTGCTGTTGCCCAGATTTCTGAGAGTAGGCATGACTTGGTGCCGATCTGGAAGGCTTGGGGATTGGCTGGCTTCCCCAGCAGCCTCGGCTTCTCCTTCCTTGCTGGCTGGCTCTCTTGCTGGATTGGAATCTGCTGCCCTGCCCCAGTTGTCGAGGGATCTACTCAGTTCGGTGGCAGCAGCCCCTGTGTGTGAAAGAGGACGCTGTTTCCAATCTCAGCACTCAGGCCAGGGCCCTGAAATGGCCCAACTCCCTGTTCTTCCCTTCCCAGCATGTCCCCATCACATGGCTCTTCATTCAACCTCTGCAATATGGTTCATCCTCTGTCTCTGAGAGACCCAAGTTTCCCCAGAGGTGCAGAGTTAAAGTCACCTGGTAAAGCTAGGCCCACAGGAGAAATTTCCCCTCTGGAAGAAGAACCCACGCCAGTCCCCATGTTTAAGGACCACAGTGCCGGGTAATCAGTGCCCAGTAGGTGTCAGGTGCTCTTGAGAATAGAATCTTTCAGAATATTACAGATCTGTCTAAAACTAAGATGAGAAGACCCTTTCTCTACTTTCTTGCTGTTGGGCTATTTCAGTTCCTTAATCCACTGTATCCTTGCAGACCTGGAGTGGAAAATCATTTATGTTGGCTCAGCGGAGAGTGAAGAGTTTGATCAAATCCTAGACTCAGTGCTAGTCGGCCCTGTCCCAGCAGGGATACACATGTTCATCTTCCAGGTAAGAAAGACAAGCCTTAGGCCTTAGTCCTTGATGCCTAGAAACATCCTCTTCTACCCAAAAGCAAACAGTGTAGTTCAGTGGTCGAAAGTTCAGGTTCAAATCCAGGCTCTGCTCTTAAGAACTGTCTGACTTCTCGGAGGTACTTCAAACACTTCCCTCTCCTCCACCTCTGTGTCTTTGCTGTCAACACAAGCCAGATTTACAGTTGATTCTCATTATTTTCCAGAGTAATGTTTTATAAAGTTGCTGTGAACACTGCATTAGCAAACTAGTGAATACTGAACCAATACCCCAGAGGAAATACAGGGTTAGGTTCCTGCAAGTCACATTGTCAACCAGTCAGTGCATAATCTTGATTTATGCATGTTTCTGCTTAAAAACACCTTTAGTATAATTGCTGATTCATTCACATTGAACTCATGACACCATCACTTTAACTCATGCCTGAGCGAAGCTTATCTAACAACATATTTTCTTCATAAAACACATCATAATCTTCTTATGCTTAGAAACACCAAACCGCACCCACCATTATGCTTGGGGGCCATTTTAAACAGCAAAATCACCAGCAGAGCACAGAAATGCAAAAAACATGGCTCCAAACAACCATGCAAAGGACACTTGTTTACAGTGTGCACCGAGACAAGAAGGCAGAGTGTTGTTTTGTTCAACATCAGCTGAGAACAGGCGCATCAAGCAGATCAAATTTTCCCCGCTCTGTACATGTCCTTGAATGACCATGAAAGTGCCCTGAATATTGATTTTGGGGCTACAGATAAATTTTAGTGAGAGGGCAAATTCACAAATACAGTATCTGTAAATAGTAGGGATCCACTGTAGCTGCTAAAAGGCTCCCTAACCTATCATCACAAGAGTGTTAAAAATGCAGATTGAGGGTGATCTTTACTTACACTAAAGCTTGGGAGCCTCTGCTTAAATCCACTCACTCACCTCCATCTCTGCTCTTCCACCCCATACCATCCCAAGCCCCTCACCCACCTGCGTCTAGTCTGCCAGCAGGCCCCATCTGCTCCACTTCCCAGCTGGGGCCTGCTTCCCGGGCATGCCAGCCTTGCAGTCACGAGGGCCCCCTGCTTGGTGTGGTGTTCTGTTGCTGGCTAAAACTGGCTAATTTTCGAACACAGGGCCTGATGTTTTCATTTTGTATTGGTTTCATTTTGCACTAGTTAAGTAGCTAGTCCTGAACTGTCCATGTTAATACACCCCAAATCTGTCCACCTGTGTCCTCTACTTCTGGGCCCCTGTCCTTACTCCAGAATGTAGCCTACCACGTCTCCCCTGTTGTCCCTCCACAGCCTTCTTCCTACCGCAGCTCCACAGGCTGCCGGTCTCTTCAGACCACGTAGGTAATGGAGCACTTGCCTCCTGCTAACCACTCCCACTTTTTCCCAAGCCCTTAACTGGCCAAACAGGCCCTGGGTAGCCTGGTACCTACCTGCCTACCTGTTAAGCCTTATCTTATAGGCTTCCCACTGTTCACTACACCTCAGCACCATTTCCTTCTCCTTTGTGGCACCTTTCACATTCAGTATATTACAGGCATTTGTGTGACCAATTTTGTTTTCTCCACTAGACTGAAAACTCCTGAGGGCAGAGACCAGACTTTTAGTTCCCTAAATACATGTTGCTTGAGAATCACTGTATTACTGCTTGAGGCCTGATGGTGGCAATCCATGCTAAGGCCCAGGATGTGTTTCCCCAAGGCTGATGCCCCCAATCCGTCTCTCATCCCTGAGACTGATGCTGTGGGTGTGACCGTGGTCCTTATCACCTGCATCTACCATGGGCAGGAGTTTATCCGCGTGGGCTACTATGTCAACAACGAATACCCTAATCCTGAGCTGCGGAAGAACCCGCCCCTGAAGCCAGACTTCTCTCAGGTGGGGCCTGTCTCTGCACTTCCTGCTCCTGACTGGCTGAAGCTCTTTGATACTTGGGAGTTGAGTCATTGGAATTGAGAGCCAAGGTCACTTCTTAAGATTTTCAAGTAGTGCTCAGATCTTGCAGTGCCAGGCTAGAACGGGAAAGAGAAAGGTCTTTGTTTCTCAGAAGGGCGCCTGACAGAATCAAGATTAGATAGGTCCCAGCCCTAAATCATGGCACAAAAGTGCTCCTTGGAGTTGTACACAGTGGTGGTGCTGATAGGATAAGCAAGGTCTGCTCTTCCTGGGCTTGGGGTGGGGGCGGGGGTGCCCTGTCACTGTGGGAGTAATGAGAGGGCATACTAACAAGGGTTGACATCCCCTCCCTCCCCCAGCTCCAGCGGAACATCTTGACTTCGAACCCTCGAGTGACCCACTTCCACATCAACTGGGACAACAACATGGACAGACTGGAGGCCATAGAGAGCCAGGACCCTGTCCTGGGCTGTGGCCTCCCCATCAGCTGAGCTCCTATCAAGGGCCTGGGTCTCACTGCCTGCATCCTCGGCCTCCTCCCCGAGAACTCCATGAACTGCATCTAACCACAGGAACCTAGGGTTTCCTGGGCCCAGCCAGAACTGTGGCCAGTCTCCCAGCACATCTGGAGGGAGCACCTAGGCCTCCTGGATAGGGCCATGTGGAAGACTTTGGGGCCATCAGCTACATCCAGGCCAGTTGAACTTGGTGCCAAGGAAGGAAGGGGCCTCAGGTTTCTCTTAGTCGTGGCCCAGAAGGATCATCTTACCTCTACTGCCCAGGCCTGTAAGAAGCAGGTACTTTAGTTCTTAATTCCTTCTTCCTCGTGTCCTTTCTCTCTTCTACACACTACAAATTTCACCTGTAGGCCATTGTCCACCATGCCCATGTGAGTCCCATTGACCCAGAGCTCTTCCCACAGGCCTCCCTGGCCTGCCTTGAGGCTTTCCTTGTCAATGCCTGGCAAGATTCCAACCTGTTGAGCCAAAGGCTCTGTCATTCCACTTCCTCCCCAGCCATCTCAGCACATCTACCCAGATTTGTGGAGTCAAAGGCAGGGAATTTTGTTTAGAAGATGAACTCAGACACAAGTTCTTTCCTCCCAGGACGATTTGTAGGTCTTTTCAATCCAGCAGCCCCCAGAAAACTCTGTTCCCAAAGGTGTGATCAGCAGGATGCTGAGGAATGATGGTTGTTAATTCTCAGTCGTAACCACCTTCCTCACTGGATCTGGCTTTCCCTGGAGGCAGCCATGGTGGGGAGCTGGCATGTATGTTGGAGGGACATGTTGTGCTCAGTCTGTTGGCATCAGGGTCCCTTTGGCCCGGCTGCCTTGTTCTGCCCTCTGCTAAGACCCCACACTCAGGCCTCAGAGTGATTGCAGACACGGGAAGCAATAGGAACCCTGAAAACCTTCCTCCCCTGCCATGTTCCCTGCCTCGCCCCATCCCCTTGCTGCTACTTGAATGCTGTTGTGATTATAGTTTGTATATTAAAGGGTTTTTATATTAAATATGTCTGGTTGGCCCAAAAATAAAAAGCACTTCATCTAGACTGATTGTTTTTGCTTTTGTCCAGGGGAGGGGCTGAGGCAGCTTTGTCCATCTCTCCTCCTGATAGGGGTGGGGGGAACTCCTGGCCCAGCCAGTGGGTTGACTCCCCCTTGTTCCCTTGCTCAGCTTCTTACTCTGGTCTTACTGGTTGTATAGTTGTTCTTCGGGGAGGGGTTTTTCTTTGTCAAAAGTTAAGCAACCCAACTGTTCTGTAGATTGAGCATGTGCAGTGATTTTTTCAGACTTGGACCTTGACCCACAGGAAAAAACTAACATTGTGCTCCAAGGACACACAAAGCAACACTTTTACTAAATTTTATTTAACCTTACTTTGTAACTGCACAGCCCAAGGTGGAGAGGTTTGGCTGGTGAGCCCTTTCCCCATAATTCACAGAAGAGCCCCAACTCCTCCCTCCCTGGGAACGTGGGTGCCGACAGCTGCTGGGCAGGGTGCGGGCTGTACAAGTCTACTAGTAGAGCAGCAGATCAGCTTGTAGACCTGAGACCGGCTAGCCCTTCTGAGCACCTCCTCTTTGGTCCTTCCTCTAAGTGGTGTGGTTCTCAACTGGGAGCACCTTCGCACCCCCCAGGGCACACTTAACAATGTCTGAGGATGGCTTTGTTTGTCATAATTGGCAGAGAGGGAGGTTCTACCCACTGGATGCCAGTGGGTAAAGACGGGATGCTGCTAGAACACCTTGCAGTGCACAACACAGCCCCCCAGCAGAAAATGATCCCCTCCCAGATGTCAGTACTGTGTGGCAATGGGAAACTCCTCAGGCTGCGTGTGTGTTAACAGGTCATCCTGAAGGAAGGAACATCTTGTTGCTTCTCTGCTCAGTGAAGGCAGGTTCCCATTGCGTTGCCCAGTCAGAAGGCATCCTCAGCATAGTGGTGCCCCAGATTCCTCATCTGTAAAATGGTAGTGATAATAGTGCTCACATGACAGGAGTATGGTGGAAAGCAATGTATTTAACGAGTGCCAGCTCTTAAACTGCTGACTGGCACAAGCCCAGGATGGGCACCTATCAAACGGAGGGGATACTGAGCACCACCTCCCAACCAGCCCTTGCTCCGTGGGCCCAGCATCCTCTTTAAGCTCAGACTGTAGTTAGGGGAGACCCAGGAGGCCCCTGAGCCTGCCTTTCCTATTCAGCACCGGCCTAATGAATGACGACAGCCGGCGGCCCGGTGACCTCTGACCCGCGGTGCCGGCCGCGCCACTCCCTCTGGCAGGTGGACAAAACGGCTGCGCACGGGACGTTGGGGGTCCCGCGGCGCCAACCTTGGCTGGCCGACAGCCGTTGCCGCACTGAGCGGGAGCAGGATACTGCGGCACTCAAGGGGCCGAGTGGCAGCCCGCCTGGACGCCTCCTGAGCCTTGGAGCTCCGCGCGGCGGAACGCCAGCCTCCGTCGCCCAGCCCAGCTGGCCTGAGTAGCAAGCAGCGTCTCCGCCCCGCCCTCACCCCGGGATTGAACGTTCTGCTGGGGTTTGCCGGACAGCGCGCCTCCGCCAATTGGCGGCCTCGCTGGGCGGGCCCCCGCGCTGTCGGGAGCCTCGGCCAATCAGGCACATTAACCCGCCCAGCAGAGGCCTCGCGAGCGCACGAGTGGCCGGACGGAGGGAGGGCCGCGGAGGGCCAGCGGGCGGTGGCGCAGCACCGTTAGTCAAGGCGGCCCAGGCCAATGAGCGGCGGACTGCGGAGGCGTCCCGGACAGCAGCAACAGACTTGGGCTGAGATTCCCGGGCGGGCTGGCGGAAGAAAGGGCTGGGCGGGGGTCGCGGCGCGCAGCCAGCGAAGCCAACCCAAGGGGCCGCCGCCGCCGCCCAGCGCGTTCCGGGACCGTCAGCACCCGCGGCGCCGCCACCACGATGGGCAACACAGCCGCCACCAAGAAGGGTAGCGAGCAGGAGAGCGGTGAGTGACCGGGCCGTGACCTCGATCCCGGCCCCGCGCTGCCAGCCCCCGCCCTGTCCATCACCGCCTGGTCCCTCCTTCTACGTCGCCCCCAGCCCCCATTTCTCTCTGCTTGCTCTCCAGCGCCCCTTCCCCTTTACGGTCCGAGGTTCAGGCCCAGGGCCCGCAGAAGACCTTCGTAGGAGCCCCCCTGCCAAAGGCCTCCCCCCACTGCAAAGACCATATCCCCCCAGCTGTCACTGCCAACCGTGGCGTGTATGACGCCCCCCATGGGGCCCTGTCACCACACCACACCCTCCTTTCCTGGTCCCTCTCCCCAGATTCTAATTCCCCCCACTTCCTCACTCACTTCTCCCATACATGGGAACCACTGCTTGATCCCGGCCCAGGCTGCTGCCAGTCTGAGAGTGCTGTGGGGTCTGCCTCAACCACGCAGGGACTTTGGCCACTTGATGACCACACCCCTCTCCCCCCTAGCCCCCGCCATCTTTCTCCTGCCCTTCCCCTCTTCACCTTATCACAGACCCACTCTGCCCCCCTTAAAACGTTTCCCTGAGCCACCTCCAGCATTGTTTTTCCTTTCTTTGTCACTTGGCATGGGGGACAGAATCTTTCTGGGTCCCTCTGCCCCTCTCTCATCCTGTCAGTCTCTGACACCCTGCCTCTCTGCTTGTGCTCCCTCCTCCAAACAAGCGTCTGTCCCTGGCTGAGGTAGCAGGGTGTTTATGAACCTGAAGAACTGCTTCAGTGCTTCCAAAGCCAAGTGTGAGCCTATCTTGCTGGGATTCATTGTGTCCTGTTTCCCAGGTTGGGGGGTGGGCAGCAGCAGAGCCCCTTCCCTCTCCTGCTGTGCAGAGAGCTCTAGGCTCCTTGGAGGGCCCCTCAGTAAACGGTGTTCCACAACTGAGGCTCCATCATTCACCCAATCCCCTGGGGTTCTTCACCCACAACTGGCTCGGGATGGAAAGTGGGGGGTGGAGTGTCTGGGTTTAGCAAGCTCATTCAGCTTGAACTGAGATGGTGAGAAAGGGGACTCAGGATGACAGTGGGGAGGGCAGTTGGGGACATCTAACGACTTGCTTTGCCATTCTGATCATTCTCAGGGCTTAGCCAGAGACAGGCCTGTTTCCTCCTCAGCCCCCAAATGATGTTATCCTTTTCCAGCCAGCCAGCCATTCTGTATCTGGAAATGCCTCCAGAAATGGCCTCAAGCTCCTTCCTCAGTTCCTCCAGCTCTTAAATTATTATCACTCTAGGCCTAAATCTGGACCTTAGCTAAGATCCCCATCCAGTTATCAGAAATAGAGCTGAAAAGGGAGATCATGTCCAAATACATCCTTCCTGATTACTGATCTCAAACCCCAGCATCTGAGTCCCCCTTAATTCCCCCTTCCCAGCAAGACCTGGGCATGCAAGCCAAGGAACTTTATTCCCACATGATTCAAATGGCAGAACTCGAGTCACCTAGCAGCCATGGGGAGACATGTCACCAATGGGTAGGGGACAGGAAGGCAAGCTGAGTGCTTGATGACAGAGGAGCAGGTGGGTAGTGACTAGAAAAGTTCTGGGCATGAACCTGGATGGAACTAGGCAGAGGGGGAAGGGCCAGACCCCCAGCAGGTGAGGCTGGCTGACTAGGAGGTGGAAGGTAGAGCAAGCAACTATATATTACAGTGGTTTGGTTGAAAGTTGGGGAGATGACATAGTCCTGGAAAACTTTCAAGGCATATCAAACACAAGCAATAGGGGGTGGAAAGCCACACAGGGAAAAGGATCCCCAAGAAAAAGATCAGAGGCTCTGGGAAGAATGCTGAATCAGGGCACAGGCCTGGACTATCCTGATGAAATGCAGCTACGATTTATTAGGCACTTAGGATATACCAGGTCTCCACAGAATCTATCTGTTGTAGTGATTTTCATAATGGGATATTACTGCAATTTTTCAAATGATCTTTCTGAGTTTGACTTAGATGATGTCACAGAGGCAGTATTCATTCACATCCAGATCTGCCTACCAATTTCCTACATCCCAGATTTCCCAACCCAGATATTCTCAAGCTTCCTCCCCGATTTTGATATTATTCACCTATATTTTCTTAAGATAATAAAAATTTTGATTCACTTTTGTTCAGATGTAAACTCTGGTCCATCCTAAGCTGTAATAAAAATAAAATCACGGAATTGCTGTGTCAGTTATATTCTCTCTGATACACGTTAAAATACAGTATCTAAAAAAGTGAAACATCCCGTAAAATAATTTCATGCCTGAGGATGGGACCCATGTCACACTTTGGGAAATGCCCTAATCTGCACTTCCTTTCAGAGGCTTTCAGGGGCTCTCAGGGAAGGAAACAGGATAAGGAAGGAAGCCCATTTAGCTTTGAAGATCAGATTCTGAAAGGTTCGAGTTAGACAAAATCTGCCCTCTTGGAAATAGGGCCCGGGTAGGGCCAGTAGCCAGGCCAGCCTGCAGGGGGCACCTGGATTTCAACTGCCAGATGCCAACCGGGCTGGAGTAAGGAAAATGCCCAAGCCTTAGTAGGCACCAGTTAGGCTGTGCTGCTGTCCCCATGCCAGGGCAGGACAGTGCTGGCCTCCTCAAAGAGGGCAGGGATCCAGAACAAGCCTTGGGGTGGGGTGGGGGAAATCTGTACCCAAAGATGCCAAAGCCATTGCCAGGGGCCCAGGTAAGATGCTAAGGGAGCAGAGGAAAAAGACCAAGTGCCAGACTCTGAGCAAGCTGGAGGAATTGAGAGGGGACAGTGGCCCCAAGAGGCCCCAGGGGACAGGAGGCCAAGTGGAGCTCAGGCCTTGGCTGGCATTGGCCAAAGGCCCCCCTGGGAGCTAGCCCACTGAAGGGGCAAGGCTGGTGAGAGAGAGGCCCCCAGACCCCAGGGACAAAAAGGTCCAGACTCTGAGACTGAGACATCCTCCCAGGAGGTCCCTGGATAGGAAGAATTCTCACCTTGTAACATCCTACAAGACTATGAGAGGGCCAAGCCATCTCTGTGCATTGGCAGCTGTGTGGGTGCCCAAGAGGGTCCCACCAGAGCAGCTTTTCCCTGTAGTGCAGTCCCGTCTACAGCAGCTTGAGGGGCCTTACCTGCGTATCCCTGCACCCACTGGCCCCCAGGTTGGGTTTCTCTTCCTGCCACCACCCCACAACTCCCTAGCTCCCCCTGTAGGTGGGGCTTTGGGGATGGGCAGCCAAGCTGGCACAGCAGGTCTCATGAACCTTCCCAGCCGCCGTAGTCCAGGTGCCCAGAGAGGAAGGCTGAATGATGGCTTCCAACCCCAACAATGGTGAGGCTGAGCCCTGTTGCTATAGCAACTTACCGGGCAGACACTGCCCCTCAGACAGGAAGGGACTGCAGTAGGGTTTGGGGAGCAGGTAGAAAGCAGGGGTTTGCAGACCCCTGGCTGGCCCCAGAAACACCTCCCTTACTAATAACCCTGGGCTGGGGGCCTGGGGCAGAGGAGGGTCGGGGGAGCCTAGTTCAGACAAGGGGTGATGGCTCAGCTCAGATTGGGACAGTGTGGTGGTTCAGCCAAGTGTTGGAGTTCAGCTCAGAATGGAAGTTGGTTCGGCTCAGTGATAGAATCCAGGTCCAGTACAAAATAGGGATCCATCAGACTGGGGGTGGTCCAGCGCATTGTTGGGGTTCAACTGGGGCCAAAAGCAGAGCCAAGTACAGGGCAAGGGTTGACAGAGGCCAAAGACAACCTGGGATACCATTCCCCTCTCCGCCTCCACACAGGACCAAGACAAAGCCAGGTGTACCCATTTCTCTCTTGGGATAGTAGGATTTGGGGGCTTCAGGTTCAAAGAGGACTCCGGGATGGAGACTGGGTGGCTCTAGGCTCTGTGCCTTTCTCTCCAGCTGCTCTTTCAGCTAATTAGTGGGGTTCTGAGAGGGGCCTCTTCAGCCCCCAGGGAGCCCCTGGCTGCTGCCTGGGCCTTGGGGTTCATTTGGCTCAGTGACGGGAGTCCAGGTCCAGTACAGAACAGAGGTCCATCAGACTGTGGGATGGGCCAGCCCAGAAAAGGAGAGCCAGACTAGACTTGGAGAATCAGCCAGCACAGACTTGAGGTCCCAGCCCAGGCAGGGCATCCCTGCCCCAGAAGTCCCAGGACAACCACGTTTTGGAGGGCAGTGTCCTGAGATTGTTGTCTTGGGGGTCAGTGGGGTGATGGGGAGGTGGTCTGAGGCTGGGCTCCTGCCTCCTGCTGTGGCTTTGGCTTTTCAAGTGGTTTTCCTGGATTCTCTCTGGGAGCCCAAATCTAATCCAGACCAGGATGGAGGTGGCTCCCCACCTGTGGGAGAAATGGACAGGGTGGCAGGTTTTACAAGCCAGCAACTGGCTGGGTTTCCCTTTTCTGCCTCTTCCTATTGTCACCAGTGGCCTCGGGTACCAGGCACCCTCAGAGACAGTGCCACTGACCCTCACTTCTTTGGGGATCTGGAAAGGAAGAGAAAGATGGTCAAAACTGCCTCTCCTCCCGCACGCCTCGGTTTAGCCTTTCCTTTCCGGTTTGCGCTTTAATGGCTGAAAGCAGAGCCGAGTACAGGGCAGGGTTGACAGAGGCAGAGGGCATCCTGGGATGCCATTCCCCGCCCCGCCCCCGGGCAGGAGCAAGACAAAGCCAGGTGTACCCATTACTCTCTTGAAATAGCAGGATTTGGGGGCTTCAGGTTTAAAGAGGATTCACAGGAGGAGATGGGGTGACACTAGCTCCGTGCCTTTCTCTCCAGCTGCTCTTTCAGCTAATTAATGGGGGCTCTGGGGCCTCTTCAGCCCCCAGGGAGCCCCTGGCTGCTGCCTGGGCCTGAGCCTTAACTCCTTCCCGTCTGCCCAGTGGACATCGCCCTAGGCACGTTGGGTGCCATCCCCGGGGCAGCCCAGCACCCAGTGAGGAAAGCAAGACCTGGCATCCTGGGAGCCGTGAAGTCCCTGGAACAGAAAGTGAGCTTTAGTACCCCACCCCAGGGGCAGGCACAGGCCACCAGGAGGGACACCCTTGGAGACTCTTCCCACTACCTTCTGCCAAGAAGGGCCTTTGCAAACTTTGGCCAGCTGGGAGCAGGCACCTTTAAATGCTTCCCTGGCAACCAGCTCCTCCTCCTTGGTCCCCCCGAGGCCCTCCCGAGGAAGCCAGCTCAGAGACGGCATATTCCTGGTTCCCCTGCAAAAGGAAGATTCTAGGGTGAGCCTAGGTTGGCCTGGGATGGATCTGGGGTCAGACAGTGGCCAGGGTGGGGGCTCGGAGACCACCTTCCAGCTGTGGCTACAGCTGCTCCTCTGGGCCCACTTGATGATCCGTTTCCTGGGCTACCTGCGCCACACTCTCTGGGCACCTAAGCCACAGCCAGCACCCTGAGCTTCCCTGGCCAGGGGCGCAGATGGGCCCCAGATGACCCCCATCCCACTCCATCCCCCATTGCACCCTCTGCTGGAAGAGGCAGGAACCAGAGGTGAGTACGTGGGTTCCTGGCTCGGGATCCTCCCCCCAGTCATCATCTCTATCTGCCTGTTCCTCCTGTCACTGTCCCTAGCCAGCACCCCACCCCCAGTCAGGCAGGTTGACAGCACCAGCTGGGATGCAGCCAGGGCCCTTCTGTACTTTGAGAGGCCAGAGAAGGGGTGTGCTTGGGCCAAGACACCCCATGTAGCCTCTGGATGGGATACCAGCCGACGGCCAGAGGTGCAGGCCCACTGGGTCAGGACATGGCAGTTCTCAGGAACAGCTGAGAGTGAAAGGAGAATCAGGAACAGCTGTTCTCCCAGGTTCCTCCCAAGCCCGATCCTCTCCCCTTTCTTGGGTGGATGAAGGTAAAGTCCCGAAAGGGTACCCTTTTCCCCCAGCTTCATCCAGAATTCAGTGTGTATGTTTGGAGGCTTCCAAGGAAGGTGTGGTGTATCCAAAAAGCTCCTGCCAGTGAAAGCACTGGATGTTGTGCAGCCCCCAGGCCAAGAGAGTCTCAGAGAGCTGTAGCACAGCCAGGTACCAGCCTGGGACTCCTGGCCACTCCCTGACAGCCAGCCTCGCCCACCCCCACTGCTCAGTCACCCTTTTTTAGGGCTTCCCTGCCAGTGGTCTTTCCCCCCATCTGCCATTCTTGTGGCCCCATAGAAGGTTCTCTCTGCCAATGGAGAGCCTCAGGGGACAATGGGGAGCAGGGGTGGCTCCCTACAAGGTCATGTCGGATTCCTGGTACCGCATATGGGTGGGACAGGCCGATGACAGGCAAGGTCAAAGTACAGTGTGCAAGACCCTTCAGGGTGGCAGCCACCTCAGGAATCTCAGGGACTTGAGGACAGTGCTATCTGTGGGCCACCCTGGTGTCCTAGGATCAAGGTGGAATGAAGCAGTTCATCTCGTGGGCACTGGAGTCTGGCAAACAGCCTCAAGCCTGGTCGGTCTTGTACGATGAGAGTAATAGCTCCAACCCATTAGGGTTGGAATGAAGCACAGAAATCTTTCAGCATGAGGCTGGTGTAGAGGGAGGATCCCTGAACATTTACACGGCACTAAACCCACGCCAGCTACTGTCCAGCCCCTTTTGCCAAGTTTCACTCATTCAGTGCTCACAACCACCCCGCCAGATCATTACTGTTATATCCCCATTTTACAGATGTGGAAAGCAGAGGCCCAGAGAGGGGAGGTCAGTTACCTAAGGTTGTACAGCTCATCAGGGACCAGGCTAGGATCTGAACTTGATCTCATTCCAGAGTCCTGGCCCTGAACTGCTTTGCCAGTCTGCCTCTCAACATTGGTGAGGCCTGTTTTCAAGCCTCAGTTTCCTATGGTGTTAAATGGGGAGAATGCATAAAGGGAAAGTTGGCCAGCAAACCAAATAAGATTGTGGAGACAAAGCAGCCGGTTCAGAGTCTGCTGGGAAGTCGTCATTGTTAGCAGGATGCTGATATTCAACTTGGGGTGCTGAGGGGCCAATGGGAAGTGGGCATTGGGCAAGGCTTCCCCTGAACCAGCTCTGGCGTGAGGGAAAGGGGGAGCAGGGCCAGCTGGGGGCCAAGGCGACAGCTGAGCCCCCCAAGGCTGCCTGCTACCCGAGCCCCAGAGGCCTCCACCCAGGGCCGGCCTGTCTAGAGAAGGGGCTGGAGGAGCGGCCAAATCCCAAGGCTATAAATACCTCAGCTGGCGTCGTCCGCAGCCATGGAATGTTGGTCAGAACTGGGGCGAGTGGGGGTGGGCTGGCCTGGACACTGCTCTCTGTCCCCCCAAGAGTGACCCCCGAGTCACCCCGCATCCCATTTTTGGACAGAGTTGAGGCTGGGCCCCACCTCTCTCGAGTAGAGGTGGGGCCAGGCCACAACTCAGGTCAGGACCCCCCAAAGCTACCGTGAGCTCAGCCAGGGCATCTGCAGGCACTGGAGAAAGGTCAGTCTTGGGGTTGAGACAACTGCGCCCCACTTTGCACAAGTGGGCATCTCCCTAGGAATAGCCTGGTTCACCCTGACGAGATGGGGTCTCCATCTAACTCTCCCTTTCTTCTTTTCAGTGAAAGAGTTATTGGCAAAAGCAAAAGAGGATTTTCAAAAAATGGGAAAACCCTGTTCAGGTAAGCCCCCCAGGTACATAGCCCTTGGAGCTATGGCCCCTCAACCACAACTGCATCCCTGTGACGTGGCTGTGATTTTAGGGCCCCTCAGAGGGCTCCAGACCTGCCCCCATTTGCTCCCTAGATGCCCATGGGGGCTCCTAGGTAGAAGCACCTGGTCACCTACTGCCAGGCTCCCTTACCCACCATCCCCATCCAACTAGCAGCCCCTGCCCCCCATGCAGCTGCCAGCAGCTCCCGGGCCCCAGGCCAGAGCCGGATCTGGCCCCTGCCACCCGCCTTGAGGAATTTGCCCTCTGCCGTCTTGTTTTTCCACCCCATCCTCTCCACCTGCTCCCCGGTGCCCCCTCTGCTGGTGGTCCTGGAGGTGACCCAGACCTGGGCCCAGCAGGCAGCTGAGGAGGAGGTCCCTGGCCCTCCCAACCCCTCCGCCCCCAGAACACAGCCTGATTGGAACAATTCAAAAGAATCAGGACGCTTAGCATGGGCTCCTTTGGGCTTGTGATGCTCGTAAAACACAGGGAGAACTGGAATCACTGCGCCATGAAAATTCTGGACAAACAGAAGGTAAGTCCAGCGCCTCCACATGGCCCCAGTCTTACCACCTTTGCCCCAGCTGTCCCCGCCACCTGGAGTGCCCTTCCCGACCATGCACTCACCATTCATTTCCTAAGTCCCCACAGTGTGCCAGACCTGCGGGCCAGAAGGGCCCCCCATACTGCCTTCATGAAGCTGCTCCCCCAAACCAGCCACCAATGGGAATCCAGGCAGTGGACACAGGGTCAGACATCTAAACCTGTATCAGGAAGCGGTGTTGACATGGACCCTCTTTCCATAAATGTTTTTGAGACCCTGTGTTATGCCAGGCATGAGTCTAGAGTAACGCTGTCTAGTGGAAATGTAACACGACCTACACATGTATACATTTTCTGGAAGCCCCATTAAAAAAGTAAAAAGAAAGGGGGAATTAATTTTAATGTGTTTTAATTAGGCCAGTATATCTGTAATATTATAGTTTAAATATATGTAACCCACGCAAAAATAGCATTAATGAGACATTTCACATTCTTTTGCTTGTACTGACTTCGAAATCCAGCACATATTTTATATTTACAACATGTCTCTGTTCAGATGGTAAATTTTCACCTGAGAGATGAAAAAAAGTGGAAAAGTTGAAAAAGCAGATTCACATATTCCGAGTTGTTCTAAACAGGCTTAAAAATTGTCCAGGAACCGTGCTAAGTGTCAGTGTTCGATTCTTCATTTTAGACACTTTAAATGCAGTTCCCTAGACAACTGGCCACATTGCAAGTGTTCAGCAGCCTGTGTAGACCTCACTGGACAGGGAGGTATAGACCCAGAGGGCACAGCTGAGGGCAGAGTGGAAGAAGCCCTGGCATAGCTGATCAGAACTGACCAAGGGGCCTGGCTGCCTGCGTGTGACACCAGCTTGATGCTGACCAGCTGCATGTGACCTTGGGCGAGTCACTTCCTTTCTCTGTACCTGGGCTTCCAAACTGATGTGCTCACCCCTCAGGGCATTGGTCCATATGCGTCAGTCACCTGCTGCGGGCTGAGGAATAGTGAGCCTAGGTTCAGGTGTATGGGGGGTACTCTAGACACATGGAAGGTATTTCTAGACCCTCTACCCCCTGGGCACTATTCCTACTTGTCTTTTGGGTCTCAGCTCAGCTGTCTCTTCCTCCAGCAAGCCTTCCCTGCCCCCAGGCTTCACCAGGTGCCTTACTGGGCATCCACTGGCCGGAGCTTCCCCACCCTCAACTCTGACCATCAGGCCTAGTGACTCATGTGCTCTTGCCCTGAACTACATGCCATGAAGGGACAGGCAGCCTCTGCCCTCTGTGTATGTCCTCAGCACCCAGCCCAGGCCTCCACAGGCTCTTGAAGGAGCCATCCTGGCCAGCTCTAGCACCCAGTGGAGGTGAGGACCCTCTCACATGCCCTTCTCTCCATCCTCCCTGCCCACCCCTGCAGGTGGTGAAGCTAAAACAGATCGAGCACACACTGAATGAAAAGCGCATCCTGCAAGCAGTCAACTTTCCGTTCTTAGTGAAGCTTGAGTTCTCCTTTAAGGTGGGGTCCTAGTGGTCAGGGGCCGGGGCCACTGCTGGCTACTGTCTCTGGACTCCTAGAGCTGGGGCTAGGGCCCAGGACAGCCAGTGGCTGTCCGAGAAGGAGACCTCCCAGGGTGGGGGATGGGGCTGTAGGGATGGGACTCAGCCTGGGGCTCTAGAAGACCCAAGTTCAACTCCTGGGACTCCTGGGCCTGCCAACTTCTAGCTTGATAACCTCGGGTGAGTCACCCAACCTGGATGACATCACTCCAAACCACTGCTCCATTTACAGCAAGAACCTGTCTCATGGCCGGGGCACAAATTGTGCCACACGGTCTGGGTTCAAATCCCAGTTCTTGTACTTCCTGTTCATATGACCCTGGCAAGGGGCTTCACTGCCCTGAGCCTCAGTTTCCTTATCTGTACAATGGGGATCATAACAGCCCCGAGCTGGACTGAGTTAATTGTGAGCTGGAAAAGGCCACTCAGGGCCTGTGATAAAGGCAGTCACAGGGACCCCAGGCTTGGTTTAATGCTGCCACCTTAAAATTTGTAATACTCTTTTTTAACAAGGAGCCTCACATTTTTATTCTGGGTCCCACCAATTCTGGAGCTACCCTGGTCCCGTTTTACAGATGACAAAACTGTGGCCCCAAGAGCCTTGCTCAAGGCAGTCCCAGATGCAGGCCGACCGCTGTGGAGTTCTCTCTACCGGCAGGGCTCCCTGGGCCCCTCTAGCTGGCCCTCGCTTTCACTGCCCGTAAACAGGATGACGGCTGTCCCTTCTCCCTGTGGGCAGGAGGAAATGAGAACACAGCACCTGGCGCCAGAACATGCCTCACATGGGAGCCAGGATTGTCGTTGCCACTTCATTTCTGAACACCTGCCGGACGAGGGCACCAGGCCTTCAGGTTAAACAGATTGTCCAAGGTCACACAGGGGAGCAGGACAGGGTGGTTCCATCAGGGTCCGTTGGGACTCCAAAACTCACCTTAGCTACTCCTCCCTAAAATGGCTTGGCAGAGGCCTGGGGACTTTGGAAATACTCGTGCTTACTGGAAATATTCATGCTTAAAAGATAAATGAATGTTTCTCTATTTTTCTCTTCCTCTCTGCATAGCTCTTCCATTCTTTGAGGCGCCATTCAACTCTTCCAGAAACAGTCCCCAAAGACTCTGAGCCCACAGCCTTGTCTGAAAGTAGTTGCTGGATTTACAGCCACAATAACTGACTCCCAGCTTCGCTCTGCCCTTACACGCTGTGTGTCCTTGGCCACAGCCCTTAACCTCTCTGGGCCTGTGCCTGCCTCTCTGGCATGGGGCAGATATCCCAGGACTGCTCAAGGGAGATAATACTGCTGAGGACGTGTGGGAACTGAAATGCTACAAAGAAGCGAGTTACGTTCATCATCTCCTCTTCCTCTTTGGAGCCTTTATGGCTTTTCTTCCACTCTGGGCCATCTTCTCAGCAATTTCTATTCTGCCTGGTGACAGAAACCTCATCTTTCCTTTTTTAGTGACCCTGCTTTGTAGCTGGTGATTGCCTTCAATCTCCCTGAGAGGCAGGTAGCTGGTTCCCCAGTTTTCAGATGGGTAGGCTGAGGCTCAGAGGGGCAAAGACACTTGCCGAGGTTTCAAAGCCAATGGGTGGCAGAGCGGGGGCTTGGGGCCCCATGAGCCCCCACAGGCTGAGCTGGGAGCTGCTCCCTCTATTTCCTGAGCCAAGTGGCGGGATGGCTGGATCCCGCTAGCAAGGCGGGTGAGCTGCACTGAGAGCAGCAGGGGGATTCCCAATCTCTCTCTGGCGCTTGGTGTCTACAGTGATTCTTTGGTGTGATCTCAGGCCAGAGAAACCCCCTCCCTGTGCCTTAGCTTCCTCCCTCGGGGTGTGGGGTTCGACTCGGGTGGGGGTGCACGGGGTAGCACTCAGTCAGCATGCTCTGTAGCTGCAAGTTCTAATACTTCTGCCACCCATTACCCATACCCTTAGAGTTAGGAAGTCTGCATTTGGCAAAGAGGATTTGGGCTTTATGCCCCAAGTGAGTCCACAGTGAGGCCTGGGGCAGCACCTGGGAACAGAACACACTTGCTTTTCTGCTGGGAATTTTGAAAACTCATGCTGAGGGGGATAGCAAGAGGTGACATGAGCCTTGAATCGGGCAGGGTGGGAATTCAGTAAAGCTTAGGGTTTTGGGGAGCCCTTGCAACTTCAGTACTGTGGGTCCAGGATTAGACAGACAGGTGGTGTGAGGTGCTGGCTTCAGCTGGCATGGTGGGGGCACCCAGCTTTACCACTCGGCCTGACTTAATGAACTTCTAAATTGTCTGACAACAAGCAGGGCCCTACAGTGAGCAGGATGGCCTAGGACCCAGCCATCCTCCCGCAGCCAGGCCTCACCCTCCCAAAGACAATCTTCTTGTAGATATGGAGGAGCTTGTCATCAAAGAGGAGTAGGTAGCCACCAGCCATCTCATAGATTAGAGCTCCCAGGGTCACCAATCCACAGCGTTGTTGTAACCCTGGAGAAAGAAGGGGTTATAAGGTGAGAAGTGGGTGCAGGCAGGCTTCATGGCAGTCAGAGGGTAGGGAAGCACCTACTTTGCTAAGAATAATTTCTGGGGCCAGGTACTCAGGGGTCCCCACACAGTGTCCAGGTGCGGTCCTTCACCCGCTTGGCTAAACCGAAGTCTGTCACCTGTGCACAAGAATGGGAAGTTAGCCACTGGGGAGGAGGGTTCAGGCTGTGGCCACCTGGGGCTACCCTTCTCCCGGCCCAGTGGGTACCTTAACATAGCCCTGCTGGTCAATGAGGAGGTTCTCCAGCTTCAGGTCCCCGTGGATAAGACCAAGCGAGTGCAGGTACACGAAGGTCAGATTGATCTGGGCCGCATAGAAGTGGGCATGGGGCTTACTGGCAGGCACAGTTAGGGAGGGGATGGGTGAGAGCGGGTGGCCACACCCAGTAAGACCCACCTGCCCCCAAACAGTCCAGTTGAGCCTACAAGGCCGCCTCCAGCCCAGCTATCTAAAATGTGTAAGCAGAGTACTTATTCACGTACAGCCTCAAATTGGAAAGAGCTCAAATGTCCATCAGCAAAGGATTGGAACTCCAGATCGTGACAGATACATATGGTGGAATCATACCCACCATCACCACCAGGACAGAAGATGAATACACTTAACAACGTGGCTGGATGTCAAAAGCAAGAGTAGAAAGAAACAAAAGAATATGAACTGTGTGATTCTATTTATATCAAGTGCAGACCCAGACCAAACACATGTATGGCGCGTGAAGGCAAAAAGGACAAGTGCCTTCACTGGGGCGGGGATTTTCCCAGAAAGAGAAAGGAGAGAAAATTGCATTCTTTACATTCATATGGTCTCTCTCCAGTATGAATTCGCTCATGTTGGGCTAGGGATCCACAGTACCTAAAAGCCTTTCCACAAACATTACTTTCAGATGGTTTCTCTCCAGTATGAACTCTCTGATGTTGAGTAAGGGATGAGTCATTGCTAAAAGCCTTCCCACATTTAATACATTCATAGGGCTTTTCTCCAGTATGAACTCTTTGATGTTGAGCAAGGTAAGCAATCTGGCTGAATGCTTTCCTACATTCCTGACATTTATAAGGTTTTTCTCCAGTATGTATTCTCTGATGTTGAGCAAGGTGTGAATTCTGGCTGAAGGCCTTCTCACATTCCTTACATTCATAGGGTCTCTCTCCAGTATGTATCCTCTGATGTACAGTAAGGTGTGCATGAAGGCCAAATGCTTTCCCACAGACACTACATTCATAAGGTTTCTCACCAGTATGAACTCTCTGGTGTTGAGCAATGGATTATCTATTGCTAAATGCTTTCCCACATTCAATACACTCAAAGGGTTTCTCTCCAGTATGAACTCTCTGATGCTGAGCAAGGTAGGCAAACTGAAGGCTTTCCTACTTCCCTTGCATTCATAAAGTTTTTCTCCAGTATGAACTCTCAGATGTTGAACTAGATGTGCCTTCTGACTGAAAGCTTTCCTACATTCCTTACATTCATAGGGTTTCTCTCCAGTAGGAATCCTCTGATGTTGAACAAGATTTGATCTCTGGCTGAAGACTTGCCCACATTCTCCACATTTATAAGGTTTCTCTCCGGTATGAATTCTTTGATGAAGAGTGAGAGATGAGCTCTGGCTGAAGACTTTTTCACAGTCATTACATTTTAAAAGTTTCTTCTCTGTATAGATACTTTTGGGCTTAATGGCCACTAAATTTTTTTTAAAGCTCCTCTTATGTGTGTCATGTTTATGTACTTTCTCCTCTTTGGTGATTATCTGCTGTGCATGAAGCAATGTGTTCAGATGGAAACTTCCCCAAGATTTGTTATATTCTTGTCCTCTTTTATCAACAGGGGCTTCCCCATGAGTGATTGTCTCTTCTTTGAAACATGCCTTCTGAGTCACTGGTTGCCTTTCAAAATGGGCCTCACATTTCCATTCTTCTCTCAAACTAGACTACTCAAGACCACAGCTTCTAAGTTTTTCTATTATCTTCTGAGATGACTGTGCTTCATAACTGTCCTCCTTTGGGGTTAATTTTTCAGTTTCACCCATAGATTTCCAGCCTGGGCACAAGCCTTTTGCCATCTCCCTCCTTACCATCCAGGGCTCTTTTCCTTGTTCCAACAATAATATCACACTTGGCTTGGAAAAGCAAAGTCCCAGTGATACCAAGAGCCTGTACTTCTCCAACATCACATCATGTACAGATAGATGTCTCTGAGAAGAATTTAAACAATCCCACTCCTCTCAGGAGAAGTCTACAGACACATCTGTGAAGGTCACCAACTCCTGGTACATGGCTTTAAGAAGGCCAACAGCCATTCTTTCCTCCTCCTGGCTCCTCCTGTGGGAAATGGCAGTGCCCTTAGATGACTGCAGAACTGAGCTGCGGGAAGATCCCGAGAGTTTCCTTTGGGATGATGGAAATGTTCTACATGGTATATCGGGTAGTGGTTTCACAAGTGTGTGCAACTGTCCGAACTCCTGGAACAGAATATTGAAGACCTGTGCATTTTAATGCTGTCAATAAATAAAACAATAGCATAAATTTAGAGACTGCAACTCACAGAACCCAGGAATGGACTAGCGGTTACCAAAGGGAAAGGGATTGCGGAGGGTGGGTGGGAAGGGAGGGATAAGGGGATTAAGGAGCATTATGATTAGCACACACTAATATGGGGGGGGCACGGGGAAGGCAGTACAACACAGAGAAGATAAGTACTGACTCTATAGCATTTAACTATGGTGATGGACAGTGACTGTAATGGGGTATGTGGTGGGGACTTGATAATAGGGAGCATTGTAATAACCACAATGTTCCTCATGTGAAACCTGAGCATAAGATTGTATATCAATGATACCTTAATAAAAAAAAAACATTTATAGAGACTGCATGAATTCGATGGGGACTTAAATGGGGGACACCTAGGTCATCACGTTTATTTTGTTTCATGGTGGTTGAGACACTGCAGATTCCTTAACTCAGAGGGAACAGTGACCTGCAGGGACCAGGGAGGCCACTTCGACATTCCCAGACAGATGGCTTGGTTGTGCAAAGTTGTCTGTGGTCACCCCCCAGGCCTCTTGTGGCAGGGGGTGGCCAGCTCACCTGAATCTTCCGGTCCGCTGCAGGTGCGAGAACGTCTCCCCTCCAGGCACGTACTCCATGACCATGTATAAATTCAAGCCATCCTGTGGGAAGTAGCCACTGAGCCTCAGTCTCCTCTAAAATGAGAACCATCACAGCTCTAACCTTAGAGCAGCAGTTCTCAAAGTCGTGCCCTCTTCAGCATCAACATGGCCACGGAACTGGCTAGAAATGCAGATTCTTGGGCCCCACCCAGACCTCCTGGATCAGAAACTCCAATGGGCCTCATGGGATGCTCTGCATGCTCAAGTCTGGGGTCCCCCACCCAATAGGACTGTTGGATGGCAAAGGCAGTGTTCTGGGTTCCCCACTCTGTGTCACTTTCCCCTGTCCAGGTGTGGTTCTCGTCCCACCCACTCCTACCTGAAGGATCTGCTACGGAACCTCCTGCAGGTGGACCTCACCAAACGTTCTGGAAACCTCAAGAATGGGGTCAACGATATCAAGAACCACAAGTGGTTTGCCACAACTGATTGCATCACCATCTACCAGAGAAAGGTGGGTTTCCCCTCCCCTTGCCTTCCTGGGTGCCCTGAGGGTTTTGGGGGGATCATAGGGTCTCTCTCCAGTATGTATCCTCTGATGTACAGTAAGGTGTGCATGAAGGCCAAATGCTTTCCCACAGACACTACATTCATAAGGTTTCTCACCAGTATGAACTCTCTGGTGTTGAGCAATGGATTATCTATTGCTAAATGCTTTCCCACATTCAATACACTCAAAGGGTTTCTCTCCAGTATGAACTCTCTGATGCTGAGCAAGGTAGGCAAACTGAAGGCTTTCCTACTTCCCTTGCATTCATAAAGTTTTTCTCCAGTATGAACTCTCAGATGTTGAACTAGATGTGCCTTCTGACTGAAAGCTTTCCTACATTCCTTACATTCATAGGGTTTCTCTCCAGTAGGAATCCTCTGATGTTGAACAAGATTTGATCTCTGGCTGAAGACTTGCCCACATTCTCCACATTTATAAGGTTTCTCTCCGGTATGAATTCTTTGATGAAGAGTGAGAGATGAGCTCTGGCTGAAGACTTTTTCACAGTCATTACATTTTAAAAGTTTCTTCTCTGTATAGATACTTTTGGGCTTAATGGCCACTAAATTTTTTTTAAAGCTCCTCTTATGTGTGTCATGTTTATGTACTTTCTCCTCTTTGGTGATTATCTGCTGTGCATGAAGCAATGTGTTCAGATGGAAACTTCCCCAAGATTTGTTATATTCTTGTCCTCTTTTATCAACAGGGGCTTCCCCATGAGTGATTGTCTCTTCTTTGAAACATGCCTTCTGAGTCACTGGTTGCCTTTCAAAATGGGCCTCACATTTCCATTCTTCTCTCAAACTAGACTACTCAAGACCACAGCTTCTAAGTTTTTCTATTATCTTCTGAGATGACTGTGCTTCATAACTGTCCTCCTTTGGGGTTAATTTTTCAGTTTCACCCATAGATTTCCAGCCTGGGCACAAGCCTTTTGCCATCTCCCTCCTTACCATCCAGGGCTCTTTTCCTTGTTCCAACAATAATATCACACTTGGCTTGGAAAAGCAAAGTCCCAGTGATACCAAGAGCCTGTAGTTCTCCAACATCACATCATGTACAGATAGATGTCTCTGAGAAGAATTTAAACAATCCCACTCCTCTCAGGAGAAGTCTACAGACACATCTGTGAAGGTCACCAACTCCTGGTACATGGCTTTAAGAAGGCCAACAGCCATTCTTTCCTCCTCCTGGCTCCTCCTGTGGGAAATGGCAGTGCCCTTAGATGACTGCAGAACTGAGCTGCGGGAAGATCCCAAGAGTTTCCTTTGGGATGATGGAAATGTTCTACATGGTATATCGGGTAGTGGTTTCACAAGTGTGTGCAACTGTCCGAACTCCTGGAACAGAATATTGAAGACCTGTGCATTTTAATGCTGTCAATAAATAAAACAATAGCATAAATTTAGAGACTGCAACTCACAGAACCCAGGAATGGACTAGCGGTTACCAAAGGGAAAGGGATTGTGGAGGGTGGGTGGGAAGGGAGGGATAAGGGGATTAAGGGGCATTATGATTAGCACACACTAATATGGGGGGGGCACGGGGAAGGCAGTACAACACAGAGAAGATAAGTACTGACTCTATAGCATTTAACTATGGTGATGGACAGTGACTGTAATGGGGTATGTGGTGGGGACTTGATAATAGGGAGCATTGTAATAACCACAATGTTCCTCATGTGAAACCTGAGCATAAGATTGTATATCAATGATACCTTAATAAAAAAAAAAACATTTATAGAGACTGCATGAATTCGATGGGGACTTAAATGGGGGACACCTAGGTCATCACGTTTATTTTGTTTCATGGTGGTTGAGACACTGCAGATTCCTTAACTCAGAGGGAACAGTGACCTGCAGGGACCAGGGAGGCCACTTCGACATTCCCAGACAGATGGCTTGGTTGTGCAAAGTTGTCTGTGGTCACCCCCCAGGCCTCTTGTGGCAGGGGGTGGCCAGCTCACCTGAATCTTCCGGTCCGCTGCAGGTGCGAGAACGTCTCCCCTCCAGGCACGTACTCCATGACCATGTATAAATTCAAGCCATCCTGTGGGAAGTAGCCACTGAGCCTCAGTCTCCTCTAAAATGAGAACCATCACAGCTCTAACCTTAGAGCAGCAGTTCTCAAAGTCGTGCCCTCTTCAGCATCAACATGGCCACGGAACTGGCTAGAAATGCAGATTCTTGGGCCCCACCCAGACCTCCTGGATCAGAAACTCCAATGGGCCTCATGGGATGCTCTGCATGCTCAAGTCTGGGGTCCCCCACCCAATAGGACTGTTGGATGGCAAAGGCAGTGTTCTGGGTTCCCCACTCTGTGTCACTTTCCCCTGTCCAGGTGTGGTTCTCGTCCCACCCACTCCTACCTGAAGGATCTGCTACGGAACCTCCTGCAGGTGGACCTCACCAAACGTTCTGGAAACCTCAAGAATGGGGTCAACGATATCAAGAACCACAAGTGGTTTGCCACAACTGATTGCATCACCATCTACCAGAGAAAGGTGGGTTTCCCCTCCCCTTGCCTTCCTGGGTGCCCTGAGGGTTTTGGGGGGAGTCCAAGAACCAGGGAGGGCTGCCAGTGGGGAGATGGAAAGGGAAGGATTGGAAATAGACTGTGGGCTGCTGGGCCAATCTAGATGAGGCAGTGGAGAACAATGAGAGTCTGTAAATGGGATTGTGGGGTCATTTGGCCCCCCTGTGACCCTGGGCAGGAGATGCCCCTCTCTGGAAAGTAATTTCCCCATTGGTGAGTTGGCTGTAATAAGATGCTCGGCTTGTTCAGATGAGTCACACCCTAATGCTGAGCTCTGGCCTGGGTCAGAGTAAGTCATATCACAAACTTTAGGCCATTCGCATTTATTGTTGTAATGATGACTGTGCGGACTGCTGAGTTCTGGGTGGTTCTTGACCCTTCTGCAGGTGGAAGCTCCTTTTGTACCAAAGTTTAAAGACCCTGGGACACAAGTAACTTTGACGACTATGAGGAAGAAGAGATCGAAATATCCAACAGTGAGAAGTGTGGCAAGGAGTTTTCTGAGTTTTAGGAGTATACCAGTGCCCTGGTGGGTTTTCTTCCTCTTTTTTTTTTTTCTCAGTGGGGTCAGGGTGGGAGGGTTGGACTGAACAGCCAGAGGGTTCACCTGATTTCACCCCCACCCCACCCCCAGGATAGGGGGAGCAGAAAGCGTGGTTGCTGGGGAGGGCCTGCCTATTTTATTCACCCAGCAACCTGCAGCCCCCCTCTTCCCTTCCTGGGCACCCCTCCTCTGCTTGGCTGTCAGCTGCCCATCATCCCTTCTCCCCTGCCCCATTTGTGCTTTTTTTCTCTTAATAGAAAAGTGGGGAGCCGCTGAGGAGCCCATCCATTCATCCCCATATTTGCCCCTTTCCTAACTTCTCCCCGTCCCAGGAGGAGCTCTCAGGCCTGGGGTGGGCCTCCGGGCGCAGGGACGATTCAACCTGTGTGCCACGAAAGTCGCGACTTTCTTTCTCTTAAACAGTGTACTGTTGTAAACATTTGAAAATTATTACCAATAAGGTTTTGTTTAAAAAAAAAAGTGTCGCTGGTGTTCCCGACTTCGGTCACCCACCCACACAACACCGGGGAGTTGGAAAGAGGATTTCAGGACCCAAGCATTCAAGCTGATCAGGACCTGGCCTGGTGTCCTTATTAAGACCGGGTTGGGCCGGAATTCCGCCACTCCCCCACACACCCCCGCCCCGAAGGAAAAGGGGGAGCCAAAATGCCCTTAGACCCCTAATTTAGGGTCCCCACATCTGCGGCGTGCCCCCTCCGCGTCCACCCCTGGCCGAGAGGGCGCGCTAGGAAGACACTGGGCCGGCACGCCAGGAGGCCGAGTGGCAGCGGGGGTGGCCCTGGCTGAGGTGGAGCAAAGGGGGAGACAGTGCGCGCCCCCTTCCCGCATCCTCGGCGCGGAGCGCTGGGCCAAGCGCACCGTAGGGGCACAGGGGCGGGGATGGGGGCGGGCCGATGGTCACCGCGGCCGCCCAGCCGGCGGGCGACTAGTTCCCGGTAAGTGCGGTCCGAGAGCGGAGCGCGCCGGGGAGGCGTGGAGAGGGGGGCTGGGCGCCGGGAACGTCTGGGTCCCGCGCCCAATGGCTGGAGGGCGGCCGAGCGCCGCCCGCCCGCCCCGCCCGCCCCCTTCCCCCTCCTCCGCCCGCTGCTTTCCCCCGCCCCCGCCCCGGCGCCAACTCCGCGGCGCCTCCTTAAAAAGCGCGCGGGAGTTGTAAGGGGGGGCCGGAGCGAGCCGGAGTGAGCGAGATCGCAGGGTAAAGGGGGTGGGCGGTGGGGGGGTGCCGGGCTCCACCTTAAAAGCGGGCGCGTCGGGGTGGGAGGGAGGAAGGCGGGCGGCGGGGAGAGGGAG